TCAACAGTTCATATGAAAATTCTTCATAATGTCTATGTACCATCTCTTCTTTTTCATTTTAAAAGAAATCATTTCTTCATGTTCTTTATTGTCCAGTGCACCATACCTGGCTAATTTCATATCTTCCATTACAAGAAAAACGTAGCAACATTGTTACTACTTCCAATGCAATGGCTCTTTGGAAAACATAGATTTCTTGCCTCTGGAGGTCTTTTAGCTTAAGCATCAGCTGTGGACCTTGGTAGCTTAGGGCCTGAAAATGTCCTGTGTTGGATCTGAGTGAGAGTCATCCCAACTCAGCACATGACCACCATTTTGGCAGCCTAATCTCACTTGATCTCATGAAAGAAATGACTGTGAGAGCCAATGGGAGTGATCTACTGGCTGGGCCACCCTCCTGGGCCCAGGACCTGGCTGCAGAACCCTGGGACAAGCAGTTTATAACTTGTCTCACCTTGTGAGATGTTTTTGTGAAACAAAAGGTTTTCATCTCAAATGTCAAATTTATCAATCTTTTGTAGTCAATGCTCTTTGAATGTTGTTTATGAAAATTTCCTCTAATCCAAGGTCTTCAAAGTATAGAATGTTGCCACAGTTGTAGGAAATTCTATTGGACAGAGCCACATTGCAAGGCCTGGTCACCCTAATAAATGGTAACCTGTGCTAAAGACATAATCGGCTGAAACAGGCTAAATTCTGTAGGAGAATCAGATTCCTGGGGATTCATGGCCTATGGAGAAGGAGTTTAAGATCCGTCTAGGTGGCCTGATAGTGTTGCTGCTGCTGGTGGTAGTTGGCTTGCTTTTTAGGTCCTGCTGGTTAGTCAAGGCTGAGATCCCAGATGCTAAGGGAATACAACTTATATACCCATTTTTTTTCCTTATGACTGAGCAATACAAAAGTGGTTGTAGCTGCCTTTTACAGATATGGTTATTTTTCAAATACACCATGATCATTACAGTGATTTAATTTAATCCATACAATTCCACAGTTCTCACTAGAGAGATCTGGTACACAGGACAGTCTTGCCAACAGGGTTATTTCACTAAAGTTCAACCAGTTATCTGAGTCCAAGGGCCTATTCTTTGGGATCCTCATGCTCATACTAGCTTTTAAACCAAAAGCAAAGAACTCAACATCCCTCAGTCTTGATTTATCAATCTATACAATGCAAGACTCCTTTCCCCCTATTCGTTTCACTAGAAACTTGTGAAAGCCTCAATTACGGTGATATCTTAGTTTAAGGACATTCAGAATTTATATATGTATATATATATTCCATTTCCTGCCCTGAATCTGGAGAGCATAGCAGATCTTCTTTGTAGGCTTTTGCCCTCTAGTTTAATTTTTGGGTGTTTGGGAAGGATCCTGTGGAAAATTATCTTCCGGACTGAAACTATTATTAGATCCTCTTTGTGTTAAACAATGTCTTCTCAAGGGTACCACTCTTACAATGCAGTATCCTTCATTGGAAATAACAAGTCAGATTACTTTTTTGTGAATCAAACGCACTTAGAAGACAGAGTGTATTCTTTAAGGAATAACATTTTACATACTTTATTATTTATCTGGAGAGGGGAGGGCATGCCTACCTGATACTATTTGGGCTAACAGTTAACACTTTCCAGTTCAGCCAGTGGGAGGGCAATGTATCCTTTTGCTTTGGAGGAGTTGTGTGATATTGTTTCCATTGTCTCCTTCCTATTCTCTATTGTTTCTCTAATAAATAACATAGGACAGGTTATGAGCTTATTTTCTTCTCACTGAAATAGCCAGGTTTCTTATATGAACGTTTTCTTACTAGATACTGCTGGTGCATGAACTTCACTACTGTGCTCTTATGGTTGGGGTCAATGTTGGTGTTATCAGATTCATGGAGGAAATAGGAAAATACTTAAGATTAATTATTCACAGTTTAAAAATTATAAACAGGTCACACAGAGTACTCCTTCTTGATTATTTAGGGGCCACATTGGCATTCTGTGAAATATCTTCCTTTTCTTCCTCTCTCTTGCTCACTAATCAACCAATAAGCACTTTAAGTCTTCTATGATCATGCACCATACAAAGAAAGAGTGCTGGAGTAGAAAATACACGGACTCAGAATCATGGTGTGTGACCTCATGCACATCATGTAACCTTTATGGGCCCGTGTTTCATAATCTGTAAGACAAAGGAATATATCTGCATCGCCACATGAGATAATGGAAGCGGAAGTCCTTGAAGAGGGTTCTAACCTTAATGTGTCAACCCATCCTAGCTTCTTTGGTTCAAATGTTTGGTGGGGAAGTTATACATTGTGGCTGAATGAGGTATTTGGATACTTTATCAACATATCAAAGTTCTACCTCCCCTTTCTTCCTATTTCAAAAACAAACTAGACTAAAACTTTTTCATAGGCTATGCTATTTGTGGACCATTTTAGCATGGGTTATCTGATTTGACTTACTCAACACCCCTATTTTGTAGAAAACCCACTGACCTTGGTGGTTCCTGGACTAAAAATGAAGTCTACCACCAGTCTGATGTTATTTGTAATATGTTGCTATTTTCTTGAAATCTCCTTTTTTCTTGTTACTTTTGAGCCAGCTGAACCACAAAGATGTCTGGCTTTCAATCTTCTAGGCCACGCCTCTTCTGCACCCTCCGCCCTCAGTCCCCTCCCCCTCCCTTCTTAAAGCACTGCAGTCTGGATCTGCCGCCATATTTCTTCCTTTGCTGGGCTGTGAGCTTGCTCAAAGTGGATTTCTTGCCCGTGTGGTTCTTTCTGGAACATTTTCCGGTCTCCAACCACCCCTTAAGGCATATTACTTTTAAAAATCCACCAAAATTCCATAAAATATTTCTGAAATGATACACTTTCTCCTAGTACTTCTTGACATCACCTCCCTGCTTTTCACATATTTGGGATATTCTAAAGCAGCACTGCATTTTAAAGGAATTTTTCCTTGGAATGACTTTTGGTTGATGCCTCTGCTTTTTTGTGTGGTTTAGTTTTCTTTCACCTCCTCTTTTCTATATTTTGCCCACCGGGGCTGTGGACACCTGGTTTGACCATTATTTTTTTGCCCAACGGGGTCATGGATACCTGCTTTTTAATTTTTTTTTTTAAATTTGCCCATCGGGGCCTTGGATACCTGATTTTAATTTTTTTTCCCCCTTAGCCCATCGGGGCCTTGGATACCTGCTGTGTCGTCGTGTCCCCCCACCCTACCCCTTGCCCATCGGGGCAATGGATACCTGCTTTTTTAAATTTATTTTTTGGCTCATCGGGGCCTCGGATACCTGCTTTAATTTTTTTTCCTTGCCTATCGGGGCTTCGGATACCTGCTTTTAATTTTTTTTCCTTGCCCATCGGGGCTGCGGATACCTGCTTAGATTTTTTTTTTTCATCGCCCAGCCAGGCTTTCTATGGATGGAAAAGTATTGGGTTTTGTGTTCATTATACTATCTGGAATGGCTACAAATTTTTGCTGCTAATCGTTTGGTGTGTGAGTGGACCTGCGGCTTTGGCTGGGAGACGGCTTTGCAGTTAGGCTAAGGGTTGGTCAGGCTGGGGAGGAAAGATGGCGGCCACTTTAGATTTGTTGCCCAGCTCGGCTGAGGGCTAGTTGCTTGAGCTAAGTATAAATGAGGAAAGCAAGATGGATAACGAGACCGGCAGAAGCAGTTTCATGCGCTGCATGAGGTATAGGTTTTGAATGAGCCGACTTGGGGCTTGTTAGGAGCTTTACATGGTGAGGTAGTAAGAGAGGATTGCCCTGTCATAAGGGGCTAGTCGAAAATGAGAGGGAGAATATTTAGTCACAGGGTTCAAAATGGCGATTTTGACTTTTTGCGGCGTTGCTCAGCATGGCTGTCTGCTTTGTTAAGTGTCTAAAATGGCGGATCCAATTTTGCTGCAGTTTAAATGGCGGGAAGGCCACATCATGGTGATGTCTTTGTTCTCGGGCACAGCATGGCGGTGGAAATATTCTGTTACATAGTAAAAGATGGCGGCAGTACTTGCTGCAGTGTAAAACATGGCGGGCTCTTTTCTTTTCCGTGTGCATTTCCTGACAGGTTTTGCCTCAGGGACAATATGGCAGACCTTGTCATGTGTATGTCATGGCAGTTTTTAACGTGGACGTCATGGCGGGTGCTTTTACCCTGTACATTCGTGGCGGGCTTTGCACCTAGGTGGGCCTGCCGCATTGTTAAAGATGGCGGGGTTTGCCGCGCTTGCAGTGTTTGCCGCGAAGGTGGGAGAGGTGGGCTGGACAGTGTTGGATTGCCGCATGACCCACCCAATCAGAAAGGTGGTAGAATTAAGTACAGCCAATTAGTGGCGGATGGAATTAGACTGAGTTAGTATAGCACTTTGGTGTGGTCTTTATTTAGCTAGTCAGGAGGAAGCAGCAGAGGAGCCACGTTTGTATGACTGCTCCCAGTGGGTGGTACCCAAGGTCTTTCCAAGGACATTTGGCCTTTCCACTTCCCTCCCCTCTCACTCGCTCCCTCCCCTCCAGCATTGTTTCTCACAGCGCTGGGTATTTGGCTGTGCCGGTTGAACCTCACGCCATTCCTCTGCATTGGTGCCATGGCCTAAGGCTAGTCTGCTCCCCACTGGCCTCTGCAATAATGCACTGTGGCCAGAGGCAATGCTCTATGCCTGCCAATTGTGATCATGGCGGGTGAGTTGTGGCAAGGACCAGAATGGATCGCAGATGATTGGTGGCCAACAGGTGGCAGAGAGGAATCCCTGCCTTCCTCAAGAGGAACACCTACCCCGTGGCAAATGCTGGGGTCGGATTTTGATTTCTTTATATCTTGGATATCAATCATAATGTAGTTCATGTGGTTTGCTAGTATTCATTTTAAGCCTTAAGTGACTATTACGGAAATGTATTTAGGGGCTTTATTTGTAGAATTCACTTCAGTTACACTTAATGAATTTTCATTTTTGGGTTCCTTAAAATTTTTGGAACTTTAAAATTTATTTACAGATTGCTTAAGTTTTTTTTTTTGCTGTAGATACTTAAAAAATTTGGTATTTAAATTTTTTTAACTTTTACTTTGTAATCAATAAACTACTTCCCTTTGGAATTTTTAAGAGTTTTATGCACAGAAATAATTAAAATTTTAACTATATGACAGAATGTAAAAAGGAGTATTTGAAGGTCCACTCTGGTCTAGGTCTTGCTTTTGTTCCCATCCTAATGCTGCACTAATGACCAACCTATCAGGCAGAAAACTTGAATTCCTGCAGTCTTGTTTCCTCTACTAAAATATATTATAGTGGAGTATTAATGCCCACAATTTGAATTTTCTATTGTGCCCTGCTTCCAGTGCTGCCCTCAGCAATACCCGATCTAGCTCTAGCCCGAGTCCCAGTCTTAATTCTCTCTAAAGCGACTCAGTTTGCATTAAATAGATGCTCAAAGTAGGTTGTCCATTTCACATTCTTTAGACTGGGATACCCTATCTACCTCCAGCATTGCTCATATTCAGTGCTATCTAAGTCATCATTTTCAATTAATGTGCCCAATCCCGTTTGTCCAATGTCCCATGTTAGAACAAAGAATCTGTACCCTTCACATTAATGTTAATCAAGAGCTTCGTATCAGATAATTATTGTCCATAATTGTAGTTACTTCTCAATCCCCTGCCTTTAGGGAAGGAGAAACCTTTCCTCTGCCATTGCTGCAGTAGTCACAGTCCCAATTTTCTGGGAAATGTTCATATATTGTGCTGACCCACCTCCATCTGAACTCTGCACCGAGTGAAATTCTAATTGACCATAACCTTACCCATTGGATTAAATCCCACCCTTTTGCATTTAGCATGGGGTGCAGAGAACTCAAGTCTTTGGTTCAACACTTAATGTGTTTAGTCCCAATTACCATAGCCTTGTTCATTAAACAAGGCACCCTATCATTTTTGCCCACATTCTAGGGTGTTCTGCTATTCTTGGACAATTAAAGTACCAAGCTGTAATTGCACATTGTCTTGTCCATTAATCAAAAGACGTCCATCCCATTTGTATTGCTGATAGGCAGTGCTGACTACCTGAGACCACATTCCCTGAATTATTGAGTTGAATCCCAAATGTTCATACCCCATTCATTACACAAGTACTTTGCAACTTCTTTGTACTACAGCGAGGCACATTCTCAAAAGTTCTTTACTTTGAAATATTAATGGTACCATAAAACTGCTCATGGTCCTGCCTAACAGTTAAGACCCACTTATGCTCTTTCATTGCTCCTAGGTAGTGTAGACCACCTACCACCATACATTAATCTATAAAACCCCCACCACCCACTGTCCCACTAGTTAGCATAGGATATCCCTTACCACTATGTCATTACTTGTGAAGAGTTCTGAATACTCAAGTTCCCTTCTCTTAAAATTAATGTGCATAACTGTATATATCCATGGTCCGGTGCAATAAAAAATAGAATTTCTCACCTCACCTCTTTGGGATATTGCTAGGGAATGCAGATTATTCAAGAACTCAGTTCTTGGGCATTTAATTTACAGTTGCAGTTCTCCAGAGTCCTGGCCATTGGACAGGGCCTCTGTAGCCCATCTGCATGCTGTAATGTGGCCAGATCATACAAGGAACCTTCTCTTGAATTGGTAATGTCAATGATTACATTCATCCATGTCCTGTGAACTAGCTACACCCATTCCATTTGTTTTCTCGCAGGGGACTCTTACTAAAGAAATAAGCACTAGGTCAAGATGCACAATCCTAATGGCTAGAACTGAGCCTTTCCTAATGGCTAGAACTGAGCCTTCTGTATCAGGAACCCTGTACCGTCTTTACAGTTGGAAGGTGCTGATTACCTAAGGCTATTTTCTGAAATTGTTCATGTGAAAAATTACAATCCCAGTTTTGTTCTAACCTAGGATCCCATCCCCATCTAATTTGCTTTGGATTATTGCAGAGGGTGCTTAGGCCTGTTAATGTGCTTAAATGCAGCTACAGTCCTCTATGCTAGTATGTTAGTGAAGGATTCCATCCTCCTGAAATTGCTTTACATCATTGTAGTGGGAATTTAGGACTGTTAATGTGCTTAATTACAGCTATAGTCCCTTCTGTTAGTCTACAATCCCATCCCCTTCTACTCCCTTGCATTACAGCAGACAGTATTTTCGACTATTAAGGTGCTTAAGTGCAGTTACACTCCTTTCTGCTAGTCTAGGATCCCATCCAGTCCTACTCTCTTTGCATCACAGCAGAGGGTACTTGGGACTGTTAATGTGCTTAAATGCAGCTACTGTCCCTTTTGTTAGTCTTGGATCCCATCCGCCCTAGCTCCTTTTGCATCTCACTGAAGGTACTTGGGACTGTTAATGTGCTTAAATGCAGCTACAGTCTCTTTTGTTAAGGAGGATTCCATCCTCCCCCAAGTCCCATTACATTCTTGTAGAGGATGCTTGGGACTGTTAATGTGCTTAAATGTAGCTACAGTCCATTCTATTAGTTTAGGAACCTTTCCACTTGATGTGAATTACAGGAGAGCTACTGTCCTCCCTTCTGTTAGTCTAGGATCCCATCCCCTACTACTGGCTTTGCATTACCACAGAAGGTACAAGGGACTGTTAATGTGCTCAAATGCAGCTATGGTCTCTCATATTAATCTAGGATCTTATTCACACCGAACTTCTTTTATGTTATGCAGGAGTTACTTAGAACTGTTAATGTGCTTAATTGCAGCTACAATCCATTCTATTAGCCTAGGAACAAGTCCCTTTCTACTTTATATGAATTACAGGAGAGTGAACTTGGGACTGTTAATATGCTTAACTGTAATTACAGTCTCTTACGTTAACCTAGGATCCTAACCCAACTAATTCTCTTTCCATTATTGCAGAGGATGAGTGGGCCTGTTAATGTACCTAAGTACAGTACAGTTCCCTTTGTTAGTCTAGGAAATCATGCCCTATTACTTCCTTTGCATCATAGAGGATATTTAGGACTGTTAATGTGCTTAATTGCATCTACAGTCCCTTCTGTTAGTCTAGGATCCCATCCCCCTACTACAGGGTTTGCATTACCGAGGGACTTTGAAAGTGCTTAAATGCAGCTACAGTCCCTTCTGTTAATGAAGGATTCCATCCTCCCCAACTCCTGCTGCATCACAGCAGAGGGTACTGGGGACTGTTAATGTGCTTAAATGCAGGGGTGGTCCCTTATGTTACTCTAGGATCTCATTCACACCTAACTTCCTTTACACTATGCAGGGGTTACTTAGAACTGTTAATGTGCTTAATTGCAGCTACAGTCCATTATATTTGTCTAGGAACCAAACCCTTTCTACTTGATTCAGATTACAGGAGAGCAAACTTGGGACTGTTAATGTGCTTAAATGCAATTAAAGTCCCTTATATTAACCTAGGATCACAACGTACCTAATTCTCTTTCCATTATTGCAAAGGGTGCTTGGGACTGTTAATGTACTTAAATGCAGCTGAAGTTCTTTTTGTTAGTTTAGGATCCCATCCCCTTGTACTCCCTTTGCATTACAGCAGAGGGTATTTGGGACTTTAATGTGCTTATATACACCTACAGTCCCTTTTGTTAGTATTGGATCCCATCCCCTTGTACTCCCTTTGCATTACAGCAGAGGGCATTTGGGACTTTAATGTGCCTAAATGCAGCTACACTCCCTTATGTTAGGGTACAATACCGTCCTGCCCAACACCCTTTACATCACAGTGGAGGGTAATTGGGACTGTTAATGTACTTAACTGCAGCTACAGTTCCTTGTTAGTCTACAATCCATTCTCTTCTACTGTCTTTGCATTACCACAGAGGGTACAAGGGACTGTTAATGTGTTTAAATGCAGCTGTAGTCCCTTATGTTAATCTAGGATCTCATTCGCACCTAACTTCCTTTACATTATTCAGTGGTTACTTAGGATTGTTCATGTGCTTAATTGCAGCTACAGTCCATTCTATTAGCCTAGGAACCAATCCCTTTCTACTTGATGTGAATTACAGGAGAGCAAACTTGGGACTGTTAATGCACTTAAATGCAGTTAAAGTCCCTTATATGAACCTAGGATGCAACCCACCTAATTCTCTTTCCATTATTGCAAAGGGTGCTTTGGACTGCTAATGTGCTTAAATGCAACTGAAGTTCTTTTTGTTAGTTTAGGATCCCATCCCCTTGTACTCCCTTTGCATTACAGCAGAGAGTATTTGGGACTTGAATGTGCTTAAATGCAACTACGATCCCTTCTGTTAGTGAAGGGTTCCGTCCTCCCCAACTCCCGCTGCACCACAGCAGAGGCTATTTGGGACTGGTACTGTGCTGTAATGCAGCTACAGTCTGTTTTGTTAACCTAGGATCTCATACCCACCTAACTCGCTTAATGCTATTACAGAGGGTACCTGGACTGCTGATATGCTTAAATGCAGCTCTTGCCCCTTAAATATGTTTGGGATTGCATCCTTCTAGAGAGTACTTTGCATCATAACAGAGAGTACTTGGACTGTTAATGTGCTTAACTGCAGCTATAGTCCATTCTGTTAGCCTAGGAACCAGTCCCTTACTACTTCGTATGAATTACAGGGGAGTAAACTTGGGACTGTTAATGTGCTTAAATGCAATTATAGTCCCTTATGTTAACCTAGGATCGCAAACTACCTAATTCTCTTTCCATTATTGCAGAGGGTGCTTGGGACTGTTACTGTGCTTAAATGCAGCTATGGTCCCTTATGTTAATGTAGGATCTCATTCACACCTGACTTCTTTATATTATGCAGGGATTACTTAGGACTGTTAATGCGCTTAATTACAGCTACAGTCCACTCTTTTAGCCTAGGAACCAGTCCCTTAATACTTGATGTGAATTACAGGAGAGTGAGCTTGGGACTGTTAATGTCCTTAAATGCAAGTACAGTCCCTTTATTAGTCTTTGATCCCATCCCCTTCTGCCCCCTTTGCATCACGGCAGAGGGTATTTGGGACTTAAATATGCTTAAATGCAGTCATAGTCCCTTATTAACCTAGGATCCCAACCCACCTGATTAATTTTCTACATATTGTAAGGTATGCTTGGGACTTTAATGTGCTTAAATGAAGATACTATCCCTTCTGTTAGTGCAGGATTCCATTCTCCCCAACTCTCCTTGCATCACAGCAGAGGGTATTTGGGACTGTTGCTGTGATTTAATACAGCTGATGTCCCTTTTGTTAACCTAAGATCCCATTCCCACCTAACTCCCTTAACGCTATTACAGAGGGTAGCTGGACCGTTGACATGCTTAAATGCAGTTTTTGCTCCTTACATATGTTTAGATTCCATCCTTCCACCTTCCTTTGCATCACAACAGAGTACTTGGGACTGTTAATGTGCTTAAAAGCTGGTATAGTTCCTTTTGTTGGTAGGATCCCATCCCTTTCTACTCATATTTGCATTACTACAGAGAGTACTTGGGATTGTTAATGTGCTTAAATGCAGTTATTGTTCCTTATGTTGGGGTAGGATTCCACTCTCCCCACACCTTTTGATCATAGTGGAGAGTACTGGGACTGCTAGCATGCATCTTTAGTCCCTTCTGTTAGTCTTGGAACCTATCCCAACCTAGTCTCTCCGACCACAGAGGGCACAAAGGACTGTTAATGTGTTTAATGTGGCTGTGGTCCCTTCTGTTAGTCTAGAATCCCATCCCCTACTACTGTCTTTGCATTACCACAGAGGGTACAAAGGACTGTTACTGTGCTTAATTGTAGCTATGGTCCCTTATGTTAATCTAGAATTTCATTCACACCTAACTTCCTTTACATTGTACAGGGGTTACTTAGGACTGTTAATGTGCTTAACTGCAGCTACAGTCCACTCTATTAGCCTAGGAACCAGTTCCTTTCTACTTGATGTGAATTACAGGAGGGTAAATTTGGGACTGTTAATGTGCTTTAATGCAATTAAAGTCCCTTATGTTAACCTAGAATCCCAACATACCTAATTTTCTTTACATTACTGCAGAGGATGCTTGGGACTATTCATGTGCTTAAATGCAGCTACAGTGCCTTCTGTTAGTCTTGGATCTCATCCCCTTCTGCTCCCTTTGTGTTAAGAGCAGAGGGTATTTGGGACTTGCTGTGATTTAATGCAGCTGGTGTCCGTTTTGTTAAAGGAGGATCCTATACCCACTTAGCTCCCTTAGCACTATTAGGTAGGGTACCTGGACCATTGATATGCTTAAATGCAGTTTTTGCTCCTTAAATATGTTTAGATTCCATCCTTCTACCTTCCTTTGCATCACAACAGAGAGTACTTGGGACTGTTAATGTGCTTAAAAGCCGCTATAGTCCCTTTTGTTCATAGGATCCCATCCCTTTCTACCCGCTTTTCATTACCACAGAGGGCACAAGGGACTGGTAATATGTTTAATGTTGCTATCTTCCCTTATTAGTCTGGGATCCCACCCCTCCTACATTACTTCAGGGTACAAGGGACTGTTGATGTGCTTAAATGCAGTTATGGTCCCTTATGTTAACCTGGAGTCTTATCCCCACCTAACTCCCTTTGAATTATTGAAGGGTAACGTGAGACTTAATATGCTTAAATGAAGCTACAGTCCTTTTAGTTATTGTAGGGTATCACCCCCTTGTTGCTTTGCATTAAAAGAGAGTACAGGGAACTTCTCATGTGCTTAAATTCAGTTACAATCCCTCCTGTTAGCTTAGGATCCAATCCCCATATGACTCCCTTTACATTATTGCAGAGGGTACAAGGGACTTTTACTGTGCTTCATTGCAGCCACAGTCCCTAATGTTAACCTAGGATGGCATTCCCCCTCCCACTTTCTTTGCATTAACACAGAGGGTACGAGGATTGGTAATGTGTTTAAATGTACCTGTGGTCACTTAATAATAATCTAAGATCCTGTCCTCATCTAATGCCCTCTACATTGCTTTGGAGGGTACAAGGGACTGTTAAAGTGCATAAATGCAAGCTCTGGTCCCTTATGTTAATCTAGGATCCCATTCCCACCCAACTCCCTTTGCATCACTGCAAAGGGTTTCTGGGACTGTTAATGTACTCAAATGCAGCCAGAGTCCCTTTTGTTAGTCTAGGATCTCATACTCTCCTACTCACTTTGCATTACCACAGACAGTATTAGGGGCTGTTAAGTGCATAAATGCATGTGTCCCATCAGTTAACCTAGGATCCCATCCCCACCTAACTCCTTTGCATTATTGCAGAGGGTACCTGGGACTATTAATATGCTTGTAAATGCACTGCAGTTCCTTTTGTTAGTCTAGGATCCCATCCCTTTCTACTTGTGCATACCTCAGGGTAGAAGGGACTGTTAATGTGCTTAAATGCATCTCTTGTCCCTATGTTAACCTAAGATCCCATCCCCTCCAACTCCCTTTGCATTACTGTAGAGGGTACTTGAGACCTTTAATGGGCTTGATTGTAGCTGCGGCCCCTTCTTTTAGTCAAGTTTCCCTTGCCCTCCAATTCTCTGCTTTTTAGTAGAGGGCACTTGGGATTAATGATGTGCTCATCTGCAACTGTGGTCCCTTGAGTTAATCTAGGATCCCATCCCTTCCTACTCTTCTGTAGGACTTGGGGGTACTTGGGACAGAAAGGTGCTTAATTGTAGCTAGAGTCCTGTATGTTAGTCTAGGATCCCATGCCCTCCAACTCCCTTTACATTACCTGGAAGGATTTGGGGGACCATTAAAGTGCTCAGTTGCAGCTATGGTCTTATGTTGGTCTAGTTTCCCATCCTTTTCACTCCTTTTGTATGACCTGGAAGCAGATTTGGGACTATTAACATGCTCATTTGCAGCTGTGGTCCCTTCTTTAGTCTGGAGTCGCCTGCCCTCTAACTTACTTTCCTTTACCATAGATGGTACTTTGGACTGTTAATGTGCCTAAATGAAGGTATGGTCCCTTTTGTTAATCTAGGATCTCACCTCCTTTCCATTACTTGGTTGCAGATTTGTTACTGAAAGGTGCTTAACTGCAGCTGTGTTCTGTTGTGGTAGTCTAGGATCCAACACCTTCCAACTCCTTTGCATTACAGCAGAGGGTGTTTGGGGCTGTTAAATGCTCACTTGTAGCTGTGGTCCTTTCTCTTGTCTGGAATCCTATGTCACCAACTCCTCTGACGTTCCCTGGCAGTTTTCGGGACTATTAAAGTACACCATTTCCCATGGTCTTATACTGCATTTACAGTACTTGGGATTGTATTTGGGACTGTTAAAAGTGCTTAATTGAGCTGTGGTCCCTTCCTGTTAGTATGGTTTCCCATGGCCTCTTTACCCTCTTTGCATTACACAGAGGGTACTTGGGACTTTGAAAGTGCTTAACAGCAGCCATGGTCCCTTTTGTATTTTAGGATCTCATGACCTCCCACTCCCTTTACATTACCTGGAAAGGTTTGGGGCTGTCAAAGTGCTCGATTGTAGCTGTGGTCCCTTTCTGCTAGTCTGGGGATCCATGCCTTCCAATTTCGTTTGCATTACCACAGAGAGTACTTGGGACTGAAGGCAGGTGTGATCTCTTTTGTTAGTTTAGGATCCCATAATCTCCTAATCCCTTTATGTTACCTGGGAAGGCACTTGGGACTGTTAAGGTGCCTAACTGCAGCAGTGGTCCCTTCTGTTAGTCTATGATACAGTCCCCTCCTACTCCCTTTTCATTACCTCCATGGTACTTGAGATTGTCAAGGTGCATCCCTTCCTCTCACACCCTGTTAGCATTACAGCATTACCTGCTGAACACAAGGCTGCCTTTTTTGCACTGTTACTGTGCATAATTGCATTTGTCCCTCTTACTCTGCAGTATATAAAATCCTCACTTATTTCCCTTGTATTCATCAGTGGATGTCCTTTACTCAAGACCTTTGTGCCTGGATAAAGTGAGCTGTGGTAATTGACTATAGCTATGTCTTTCATTTAAGTCCCCTGTACTCTTTGTTTAAAAGAAGGTGTATTAACTACAACATTTACTTTTTCTGGGACTACTGATGTGCAAAATTCCAATGTTCATGGTCCCTCCCTTTAATATCCCACCTGTTTCATATTACAGCAGGGGATGCTAGTCACCCAAAGTCCTTCATTCGGGACTTTTAATGCACATATGCCCTCCTGATAATAAGCTAATATCCTTATTTCTTGGTATTATAGCAGGGGTATTATACTGACCACCTGAAGTCTTTTCTTTTGGCCAGTTTAATGTGCAAAATTGCACTAGGACCTGATCCCCATCACACCTCCTTTACATGAGGGTGCTGAGTATCTATGGCTACTTCTCCTGTACAGTTTAAGTGTGCATAATTTCAGTAATCCATGCTCCTTTATGTCAGAATGGGATCCCACTTCCTCACCCCATTTACATTACTGCAGGGGCTTCTGGCTAGCCAAGATTCACTCTCTTGGATTGTTAATGTGCAGAGTTATATTTACTTCTGCACCTGTATATCACGTTTAAGACCCTCTTCATATTATTAATATTCCAGCAGGAGGTGCCTATTGCTCAAGACCTTACACACTAATGTACTTAATGTATACACTCTTATTGTCTTATAGACACACTAAGTTGTCCACTACTGTGCCTTTTAGATCATATTCTGCACTTACTGAAACAGGTACTGTCACACATCATAAAGCCCTTCTCTTGGGACTGTGGATATGTAATTACAGTTGTCCGTGGTCTTGGGTTACCTTGGGTTCCTGATTGCTTTTCATACCCTCTTTGCTTTACTGCATGGGTTACTGTCCACTTACGGCCCCTCTCTCAAACTGTGAATGTGCATGATGACAATTACATTACGATCCTTTCCCCTCACAGTCCCTTTTAAGTTTTGCAGGAATTTTTACCCCTAAGGGGCCATTTCTTGGCCTGTTAATATGGTTAATTGTCTTTGGGTTCCTGTGAATTAGGCAAGGACACCTCCCCCCACCCCCTTCTCTTTCAGCAGGGAGGGCCCCTTCCCCAAGAATGTTAAACTTGGACAGTCCAGGTTCACAATTGCAATCAACCACAGCCATGCACCTTGGACATTAATGTGCATAATTGCACATGGCTTGTCCCACTTAAGATCCTACCCTCTCAGACCCCTTTTGTAGTACAGCAGGGGTACTGGTCACTAAGGCCTCTTTTCATGGCTTGCTATTGTGCATAATTGCATTTATACATGTTCCATTACACTGGATAAGGATATCTCTCTCCCCTCCCCCTTGGACTTTTAGCAAGGAATGCTTATTACCTTAAGATCCTTCTATTTTATACAAAGTGCACAATTTTAATTGACCACACCATTTCCCTGGACATTAATGTACATAACTGCAACTTATTTTGCACTACTCTATTGCCTTCAAGTATACTTGGACCCTTAAGTGCTGATCCCTCAGTTCCCTTTTCTTGTTCTGTTTTATGTGCATAATTGCATTTGTCTGGGGTCTTGTACACTAGACAAGGACCACTCCCCCTCACCGCCAGCCCCCCCCACTTCCTCTGCCTTCCTATATGATAAGATGGAGCCCACTGCTAAGACCTTTACATTTAGACAGTTAAGTACAGAATTGCAGTGTTCCACAACTGTCACTTCCAGGACTGTTGTACCTTTGCATTACTGCAGGGGATACTGTTTTCCCCCAAGGCCCCTTCTAGAGGACTGTTAATATACATAATTGAAACTACTGTCTTCCTCAGCAGATGTCTTAAAGTCTTATCGCCTCAGCTTCCCTTTACAGTACAACAGTGTGCACTGATCAACCAAGGCCCTCTGCTGTGCAACTGCATTTTCTCCTGTACACTAGATAAGGGCCCTCCCTACCAGCTTCCTTAGCATTTTCAGCAGGCAGTGCCCACTATTCAGGACCCTCACTTGGAAAATATATGTGCACAGATGCAATTTCCTCAGCATGTCTTATAGCAGATCCCCTGTATCCTCTGCTTAGAGAAAGGAGATACTGGTTACCTAATGCTCACCCTTTTGGACTTTAATGTGCATAATTGCAATTGTCCATCTCTGCTGTTGGATTAGGATTGCAGCCCCTCAACCTCTTTGCATCAGGGGCATGTTAACCATGAGTGAGCTCTTCTGGAGATAATATTAACGTGTATAATTGTATTTATATATGGACCTGTACAATAGGAAAGGATGCTCTGTGCCCCTACTGCTGCCTGTGTATTGCTGCTGAGGTATGCTATCAGGACCTTACCTCTTCGACAATTAATATGGACCAGTAACAATGAATCAAAGTACTGATCATTAGATAGGACCCTTGTACCCCTTTTCCATACATACATCAGGGATACAAAGGCCCCTTTCTTGGACTATTAATGTGAATATCACAGTTGTCTCTGCCCTTTTCTGTTAAGAGTAGGATACCATTTGCTTTTGCCCCTTTTGCATTACTGCAGGGGCAGCTGATCATACAAAACTTCCTGGGACTGTTAATGAGCATGATGGCAATTAGCAATGAGTTTTTCCTTCCTGGCCTTGTTAGGCAAAACACTCCCAGCCCCAGTTGCCCATGGTATTATCCAGTATAAACACTGCAGTATGCCATGAACCTGTCCATCAAACAGTGACACATACTCCCACTCCTTTTGTATTGCTGCAGTGTGTATGAAATTCCCAGTAGTCATGGTCATACCCTTGTCTTCCCTCTCCCCACCTCCTGCCTGCCTTTGGACCCTTAGGAACTATTAATGCTTACGATTCCAGGAGTCCATGTATCCCGCCATTAGACAAGATAGGGCTCCTCTGCCCCTCCCACCTCCACGTTGCCCCTTTGCATTGTTGCTGGGGAATGTTCATTGGGCAAGGAAGGCCCTTTGTCTTGGAGTTCAGATGTTCACAATCTCAGATGTCATTGGTTTACCCACTTTGTATTGCTCCAATGCCTCAAGTTGCACTTTCCCTGGTCCTGCCCATCAGAAATGGACCCCTGCACTTCCCTTCTTTGCATTGCTCTTGAGTAGCAGTGACTACCCAAGCCCCCTCTGTGTATTAATACAGTACTGACCATCCTATGTTTCAGCCCATCAGACCAGTATCTCCATACCACTTTGATGTATTTGTGCAGTGTTGACTACAAGCAGCAGGCCTGAACTAGGTGGATGGGCCTTCACTCCTTTTCTTGCATTTATGAATGATCTCAGTTCAATTATTGTCACATTCTGGGGACAGGAACCATCCCTGCCCACCCTTGTTACTGCTTTACTGGGGAAAATATTAGAGGTAGCTGGATTGCCACCCTTTAGGATTTTTAATATATATGTACAAGTATCAGTTGAAAATTATCTCCCCAGAGAGGGTTAGCATTATCTCTGCATTCTTCTTTCAGAGCAGGCTCCTGGCTAAGAATCTCTCAGTTGTTGACTATTGCTATGGTACAGTGTCAGTTGCCAGGATACAACCAAACCGTTGCTGTTAAGTTTTTATTTTTTAAGAAAGACATGTGGATTGCAAGATGGAACTGATAACCTGGTCATTAAGTTTCCGAAGTCTAAAAACCCCATTTTTATGATGTGCTTGATGACCAGTGTCTCTCATTTGATTAAGGGTGGTGGGTCTGTGGATAGACCACTGTGACGCTTCCTGTTTTAGTATGAGCAAAGTAGTTCTGGAGTGGAAATCTTAAGAACAGTACGTTTGGGTTCTACCACCATTTTAAACCATTTTAAAACTATTCTTTGTTTGGGCTTTACCATCATTCACTATTAGAAAAACTGCCTAAACTTTCTAACACTTAAATTTCTTCATCTGGAGCACCAGGCAGTCCTTAACTTATTTCAAGAAGATTGCTATAAAAGGATGTAGAGAACAGAATGCTGAGGTGCTTTTGAAAACCACAGATCACCTTGTTTGATTAACTTATTATATAAAATACACCCTGTTTAATTCAGCTTATTTAAAGTAGCCTGAAGCACCACACTGAAGTGAGGACTTAGAAATGATGGGACCAGTTTCCCTGTTTTATATTAAAAGAAATGTAAGCCAAGATCTAATCATTATTCTGGATATAAATGTCAACAGTGAGATAGCTGCCTTGTAAAAATGAATAATAAGCCAGCCTTTAGTGTGCAGGGTGTTTGGTGGCAGAGAAGTATTAAATACGGAACTTCTGAAGCAAATAACTAGTCATCACAGCAGCAGTTCTTTGTAATCACTGAAAAAGAATACTATTCCTCTGAGAAGAATGTCAAGATTGGCCCAGCTCAGGGTGCAGTTTGCACTACTGCTCCTTGGACATCTGTAAGAAGAGTCTCTGGCTCTTTAGGATACTGTAAGTACTACTTTGTAGCTATTAAGTAATCTTTTCCCTGTTCTATTTTCTTTCTCTTAGATGCTACCCAGAGAAGTCAGAGGGTCCTATATGTCTCCCTCTCTGTTCTCACCTCATCTGCAATTTATGTATACATCACCACATGACTTAACCAACAGAATTATAAAATTAATGTTGTGTACCTAGCCCTCCACTAGGTTGCACTGAATAGAGGGGTAGAAATGATATAGTCCTATATAATCCCATCCCAGAGATGGTTGTATTGTTGAGAAGCTAATATAAATGCATTTGAAACAACTTTAGGAAATGATAATCAAGTGCTGTCTCGTGAATTAGAAGTTACAGAGTTTTAAGAAGAGAACCTGCTAGGGTATGAAGTTGATAGGATAAACTTAAAAAAAAAAGGAGTTGAGTTTACCTTTTCTCTTTGGTCCAGGATCTGATTAATACTGCAGCCATCTGCCTAGTCCAGTTGGTTTATTTAAATGTCATTTGGTTTTTACCTCTTGGATTGAAGAGGTAAGGCCTAGTCATTTTGTTTGGCTATATGCCAAGGCTGGCAAATTGTTGATGGTTAAATCTCATTAAAAGCTTGAGCTTTTTAAGGCTCAAAAATTGGTGGTATAAATCTGATAATGTTGGCTTTGTGTACCTTTTTATTCTATCTCTGCCCAAGAACAGGTGAGAATAGTGGAGCCTTTTTAGTATGAGGTATTTTTGGAACCTGTTTGGCAAGAGGGCAGTGGAGGTGTGTTAAGTTTTGTAAGAAAACCATGACCTTGACCACTTTATGATGAAGTTGATGTATCTTCTTCCCCCTCACCTTTTTCAACAGTTATCTTGGTAAACTAAAAAACAGCCTCACAAATGTAATAAACATAAAAGTATAGCTGAAAAAACATTTTAACATCAAATTTGACATTTTTTGCGCACATCCATGTATCCTAGCAGGAGCAAGAAGAACCATATTAATGAGCTCAGCTCTCTTACTGCCCATTTTAATTCATATCCACATTTTCTCATGGCTTGTTCTGCCCCCATCCCCTTTGCCCCCTGCCCCACTGCCTAAAGACATTATTTGTCTGATGGGTAATATACAAAGGGTCCTGAGCCTTCCTAGAAACATGGTCTATACCACTGTTTCTGAAACTGAAGTAATCTGTCAGGATGAAACACCTCTTAAAGGAACAAAACAAAAACATGTGTTTTCAGAATTACTCACTTAAGACAGTTATTTGAAACGTAAACATGTTTTCTAGGTTCAAGATGGTCTTTGTCAAATATATATAATATTGTCTATAATTTATGCAGGACTTGGGGATACATGAGAATATATCCACAAACCCCCAGGGTTCTTATCAACCCAATTTGAGAAACACTGGTCTTTGCTACTAATTATCACTCAATACTAATATACAACTCTATTTATTGGAATGTATTTTAAAGGGATGAATTCTGAGACTTCTGTAACCCCATTCAAGAGGAAGGACGGATCAATTTCACGTGGATTGAGACTGACACTAAACCAGCATGCAAAGGTGAATCTTGGAGTTACATTTCAGTTCATATCTTGCAATAAAATCTCTAGCAGCTAGAAAAAGGCATGCTCTGGAAATGAGGGCATCTGAAAAATTTAGATAATCCTCATGTTACCAAATATTTATTTGGTAGTGGAATAAATAGCGAAACCAGTAATGAGTCCTGTCAAGGAATTTCCTCATGGAGAATGCAGACATGAACGAGTCACTATGATGGCAGGCAACTGGATGAGTACCATAAAAATATTGGGAAGTTCTGTGGGGCAAAGAGGAAGAAGAGTAGGGGAAACACTCTTACTGAGCAAAGTGATGGGGAGAGGAAAATGAAAGGTATGCTGAGGGAGCACCTTGGTCATTTTGGCTTGGGACATTTGACTTGGGATGCATATGCTGAGAGCTTACAGACACTGCGGTATTCCTTGCTTTTTGCAAGTGGATTTTACTGAAGCACACATTCTCTAAGATGGAGTGAATCATTATTCTTTTTCATGGGTTGGGGGCAGAAGGACTAAGATGCTCGCAAAAGTATGAAAATGTTCTGAACTGTGAGTGAGAATACCTAGGCTTTGATCCTATTTGGAAGAGTAACTATTTGGTCCTGGTTCTATCCTTGGATCAAATCACCATCCAGCTCAACTTCAGTGCCTAGGGACTGCTGGTGAATTAAGACAGGGACTTGATTTCAACACTTAAACCCCTGAAAATAGCATTTTGTCATTTGGAAAAATTTCAAAGGGTCCAAAAAAGCACCTAACTTTTTTGATCATTTTTCTAATTGGTTACCATGATTTCTTTTCTGACTTTGCTCCTCCTAGAACCTTAAAATACAGGACTGGGGAAAGTTTTCTGATCTTGGTTTTGTGCATCTTTTCCCATATTCCCCCTCAGCTTTTCTTTTCTTTTTTAATTTTGTTATTATTAATGTACAATTACATGAGCAATATTATGGTTACTAGACTCCCCCCATTATGAAGTCCCCACCACATACCCCATTAGTCACTGTCCATCAACGTAGTAAGATGCAATAGAATCACTACTTGTCTTCTCTGTGTTGCACTGCCCTCCCTGTGCCCCCACAATACATTATGTGTGCTAATTGTAATGCCCCTTTTTCCTCTTTATCCCTCCCTTCCCACCCATCCTCCCCAGTCCCTTTCCCTTTGGTAACTGTTAGTCCATTCTTGGATTCTGTGAATCTGCTGCTGTTTTGTTCCTTCAGTTTTATCTTTGTTCTTATACTCCACAGATGAGTGAAATCATTTGATACTTCCCTCAGCTTTTCTACTTATCTATAACTTACCTACACATTTCTCTAACTAAAACACCCTCTCTAAATTAAGTTATTGTAGAGGATCATAAGACCCAGGACTGATATGATTAAGCATTCCTAAGTTCTTTTCCAGGTATCTGGGCCTTGGTTACCAAATGTACACCTGGATAGGAGCTTGTGACTTGAAATAAAATATTAGAAATTGATCTGTGGTGGCTGCTAAAATAACTCTTACTTGTGAAAACTGTCCTGAAAAATTTTTACTAGCTTAAAGAGAAAGAAACTGGTATCTGAACTGGGATGACTATTCCCTGAAGCCCTGTAAGCTTAGATGGCAAAGAGTACTGATGCATGTGGTTAAACAGAGCTAATGCCTTCCTCTGCGTCGTTGTACAGACTGGCTTGGAAGAAAACTTGATTTTCCCATTACCATATTTTTGGCCACAGACAAATAGCACTTAAGGCCAGTGTCCTTCAAAATCCAACTCAAGTTGGATCTCAAGTATTTCAGACTTAGCTGGCCTGCTGAATTTAACAAGTTACAGTGGCCATGCACAGTTATGTACCATTTTATTGGTGCCATTGAGTTGGCTACATTTTTATTGGTGATTTAGGCTTTACTGGATTGCTCTTCCTTGGACTCTCCAAATTAGAGCACTGAGACGTGGAATGTTAGGCTCCTTGAGCATCCTGTACTAATGAGTCTGGTAACGCTTTCCTTTACTGTTTTGATACTTATATTGGCGATAAGATTTTCATTTGATTACGTTAGGATAAGGGATTGAAGCAAAATTTAAATTTGACCAGTGCTAGATTTCTTAGATGATAGATAGACTTTAAAATACTATTTTGTTTGACCAACTAGAACACTGTTCTTCTAGCTTCTCTGAAAATACAAAATAAGAGGCTATGCAGCAGACCCAAGTGATACCCTCTTGATGGATAAAATATGTAATCGAATGCATGTAGTAATTTCAAAATAGGAGTATGGCTGGAAGATCAGTGTATATTACTGAATCTCGTAAAATGTCTAGGTTACTTTATCCATAGCTTTGAAAACTTTTGGCAGACTATATTTTTACGCTGTTAGTATGACTGCCATTGTACAGTGTCAGTGAACATTACTCTGTGGTCCAGGCTTACATGTTTCCCTTGACTGAAAACTAGCTATTTACTCCCTGTTGCCTTTTTATAATGGATTGACTAGGTCTTTCCAGGAAATCTGTTGTTGAACAAGAAGAACAATAGTGTAATTGCTAATGTCTTTTACGTAACTTTTGGATATTACGGATACTTGACTATTTGGGTTTCATGTATTTCAACTTTAGAACTGACAACAATTAAATCCCTATAAACAGACAAGAAAGAGAACAAGTTTTTAGGCCAGATAGGAAAACAATGATGGTACCTACTGTAGAAAAATCTGGAACATAGAATTAGCAGTTCTCAGGTTCCATTTTGCGTGCTTTTAAAAAACTGCGTATTATAATCCTTCAGCATCTGATTGAGAGATTAAAGAAACAAACCATATTTAGAACAGTTTTAGGGGGGTTTATAGGATGATTCTAAAGATAATACAGAGAGGCTTCCTGTATATCCCGCAACCAATTTTCCCTGTCATCATCTTACAGTACTATGGTACAATTTGTCACAATTAATATTAATACATTATTATTAACTAAAGTCCTTTCCTCATTTTTTCCCTAATGCTCTTTCTACATTCCACGATCTCATCCAGGATACCTACATTGCATCTAATAGTATGTCCTCCTTAGGCTTCTCCTGGTTATGACAGTTTCTCAGACTTTCCTTATTTTTGACGGCCTTGACAGTTTTTAGGACTAATAGTCAACTATTTTGTAGAATGCCCCTCTATTGAGATTTGTCTGATGTTCTTCTCATGACTAGACTGGTCTTACAAGATTTTTGGGAGGAGAACGGACCACAGAAGTAGACAGCCATTTTCTCAAGAGTACATATATCAACATGGTATCACTGTTGATGTTGACCATGAGCACCTGGCTAAAATACGGTTTGCCAGGTTTCTACAAATACATATAAAATTACTATTTTTATCCCCTTTCCATACTGTATTCTTTGAAAAGCAACCAGTATGTATAGCCAACAACTAAGGAGTAGGGAGTTCTGCTCCACCTCTTTGATGGACAAGTAACTAAAATCGTTTGGAATTCTTCTGCACAGGGAATGTGTCTTTTCTCCTAGGTTTATGTATTTATTCAATAATTCTATCAGTATGGATTTATGGATATTTATTTTATGCTCTGGGGTATAATCCCAATACCACTTCTGTTCAGATTGTTCCAGCTTTGGCCATTGGGAGCTCTTTCAGTCGGCTCCTTTGACATACCCCAACATTGTGGGTTCTGTTTTTTGTTTCAGCACTTTGTTTTTGATACTACAAGGTGCTCCAGGCTCATTTGTGTATCTCCTGTCACAGTCCTGGAGTTAATCATTTCTTCAAGGAGCCCTGACTCTTTTAATTGGAGAACAGTATTAGAAGTCAAGATCTAGGTGCTATGTATGTTCACTATTACTTGGGTATCATTGCTTCAGCACTCTCTTAGGTGAGAAGAGGTAGGAGACATGGGTGCATACTAACTTGTGTATATGCACATATCTATATTTATGTAACCATCTGTATCTATTTTAAGTTGAACATTGGGTTCACACTGATGTCTCTAACTCTAACCCATTACCACATGAATCACTGTAGTCTGCTCTCCTTGCTTATCTGTTCCTTCCCACCCTGATAGTGAGAAGCCTAACTTTGTTGGGAGATTTTTTATGTTCATATTAGGGTAGGTGAGTGAGTGACAGTTGCCTTTGATTAAGTTTAGGGAGTGTTTAGCTGTAGGTTGATTAAAAGTTCCTGTAACTAGAAGTGACTGTTCTACCCTAAATGTTTCTGCTCATTTTGAAACTTAACCATTGGTTGCAGAAACAAACTTAAGAACCATGATCTCTCCCAATTTCCATATTTTGCCCCTCATTTTCCAATTAAATTACTCTGATACAGCCAGGTAAGCTGTTCCTTAGGTATGCATTTCTTCCAGTTTTTCCTCAGAGCTAAAGTACCCTGAGAACACCAAATGTGGAAAAGGGGAAAGGCATTTGTGTAGGGTATATGGAGGAGGGAAGAGCCACTTAGTGACCTCTAAGTAATCTTCCAACGTGCCTATTTAAGACCCAAGGGGTAGATTCATTCCTTGGCAATATCCAAATGCAAATAATCCAAAGGCAATTTTCAGTGTTTTGATTTTATTCAGTTTTATTCAAGCTAATTGGTGTGTTGTTTTTAAAGTGTTCTGATGAATGTGATTGTTACATGTATTACATGTGGATTATTAACTTAAATATTTTACGAGAGATACTAGTTTGAGACAGTGTTTCTGAAATTGGTGTAACAAGTTTGATAGTAGGAGCACTTGTCTCAAATTTTACCTTTTCTCCAACACAAAATTTTTTTTTATTTTGGTATCATTAATCTACAATTACATGAACATTATGTTTACTAGGCTCCCCCCTTCACCAAGTTCCCCCCACATACCCCTTCACAGTCACTATCCATCAGCATAGTAAGATGCTGTAACATCACTACTTGTCTTCTCTGTGTTGCACAGCCCTACCTGTGCACCCCCAACACTATACATGCTAATAGTAATGCCCCCTTTCTTTTTCCCTGCCCTTATCCCTTCCTTCCCACCCATCC